ATTTGCAAATGCACACTACATAAGTTCAAAAGCGTGGGAGATACATACACACATACGAGCATCAGCGTACCGTTGCCAGACAGCATGTCTGCACCAATGTCTGCACTGATCACTGAACTCGTGTTAAGTGCTGTCGATCGATCTCCGGATGCCTGACGACCCCCGTGGCAAAACACAACCGCCTACCGGAAGCGTTTCATCTGATGAAATGCCTCGATGTAGATGGTGTCAGCATCGGTAATAGGGGTGAACCTGTCTTCCAAACGGAGTTCCAAGACTTGGCTTCCGTGTCCGGTAGCAGCGGCCATGCGGGGCTAATTACAGGACACGCGAAACGCGGTAGAGACCTTGAGCTTTGACCTACGCTATGAATCCTCGAGGACTCGGTTTCTCTGATACTAAGCCACTGCGATAGCATCGCTGAGGGCAGCGCGTAACTTCAATGTCTGATGTCTTCCCGGCAGCATAGTCATTGCCGACCAGTGCAATGTCAACCTGTCGTGCTCAAGCCGCACAGTGGCAGAAGATGAGAATGTGCTCGATCAACATAAGATAATGGCCTTAATGACTATAGAATAGAATGGGGTTTTCAGGAATGTTATACCTATATAAAGTGATATAAGAAGGAACCCCATTTAGGCCCCTACGGTGAGGAAAGACCGAAGCAGGAGCTATAAGGCGGCGTGCTGCAGTGCTGCCGCTGCGGATTAGGGTTTAGGAATTCGGTTTCAGGTTTAGAGTTTAGGGTAATAACCTTAGAGTTTAGGGTAATAACCTAAGAGTTTAGGGTAATAACCTTAGAGTTTAGGGTAATAACCTTAGAGTTTAGGGTAATAACCTTAGAGTTTAGGGTAATAACCTGCAAGCCGCAAATGATGCCAGCAAGACATTCTCCAGCTGTGGATTGATGTCCCAGCCCCGGTAGATGTGAGAAGACTTGACCACGGCCGCTTTCACATGGGATGCCTCGAGGAAAAGGAGAAGCACCAAGCAGTGCAATTCTGCGGTACACAGCACGATCGCATAAAGAGCTTTTGGGTTTGATAGTATCTTGCTGTGCTCATTCCTTCTAGTGCAGCACTTGCAACGTGCCCCATTCTTGAATGTCAACAGCTGTAGTAGCTTGTATTTTCATGCCGAACTCCAGCAGAGCAGGAAGCAACTGCACGGCCTGCCTTCCAGTAGTTGTCTGTCAAGAAGGGCGTCTGGGACGGATTTGTAGTAGCCACCTGAATGATGTGTCATGATCGTGGTTGGCTACTGAAGGCTGAATGAAACGACAAAGGATCCTGCACCCTGACTCCGAAGCAGCTAATAAGCGAGGAAGAAATCCAAGGGCTTGCTTCCAGAAAACTTCATGTTGCCCCACCTGTTGTCCGATAGAGGGGCTTAGCAGATGCCTACTGATCCCACGTGCCGCGGGCACGTACCACAGTGCAGATACAGATACAAATGGCAGCTGATTCTCCAGAAAAAACAAAGTTCAAACTCTCGGCCTTGAAGTGGATATCCTCGTTCTGCGGATATGCCGGATCGCGCGACTCGTCGATCTGCCAACCTTGGCCGGATCGGAAAGCCTGTTTGGAGTGTAAGACAGCTGTGGTGATATACACGTATATAGATAGACAATTAGATATTTCGTCTGTGTGTGTGTGCATGCATATATATATACACACATACATACATACATATATATATATATATCTATATATGTATATGTATAGCCATCGCATGCTCTGGGCAAGTTGCGAGTCCCATGGATGCCTCGCATTCTGGGATACTGTAACCGTGAAAGGCTCCTGTCAGCCACATCAACCTACTCTTGCGCAATTACTTTTGTCCCTTCGAACACTTCTCAGCCTGTACATCCTCTTGATGCGATGCCAAGCTGCGGATGGTACAGAAACCCTGAGGATCGCAGGTGCAACCTGGAAAAGGGATAATTGCAAATGCTTGGGTTGGTAAAACAAGTATATGTCCAGAGACTACGTTGAACAAACCTTGATGTCTGGCTCTAGCCCGCTGCCAATCATGCAACAGAGATGCGTGACAACTCGACGGCTGGCTGACGACTCCCCATGTGACACCAAGCTTTCAACATGGTTGGGAGAACATGGAACTCTTGTCAGCAAATGTTCAAGAAGGGTAACACACTCCGACAGTACATGACAACACCCGGCAACCCAACATCTTCTCACCACTCTTTCTGTTAACTTCCGCGTGTGTTCTTAGAGCCTCTACTAGAACGGAAGAATTGGAGCTCACAGTACAACACAATGAAAGTTTCCGTTGTGCCTGGCTCGCCGGTGGCTGGCAGCTGAACACCATCCACCCATCGGAACCTGAGGCTTTGGAGGCTCACCTAATGTAGGAGTCTTAATCACCGGAATGGGGCATGCGGGCATAATATATTATATTTGCCAGGGATTAGAAGGTGCACTATTGCTAAATATTCCGGCTCCTGCTCTCTTGCTATAGGATGTATGGGCCCCAAATACGGACCCTAAATACAAGGATCCTGATAATAAGCAACACCGGCAGGGTCACCGATGTGCCCGGGAACTGCCAGCGGGAGGCTGCGGACAAGCAACTCTCCCAACTGTGGACAAGCAACAGCTTCGTGGATTTCTGTATCAGTGTATGTGTATATAATGTATATACATATACATATATATACATATGTTTTACATGCAGGATGCATAATGACTAATCTTTCACGATTATTGACAACCTCTAGCATATGTGCATGTACCTGTACATACATGGACACAAAAATAACCATAGAAAAATACAGACAGTTGGATCATGGTCGTTATGTATGTATGTATGTATGTATGTATGTATGTATGTCTGTATGTATGTCTGTATGTATGTATGTATGCATGTACGTATGTATGCATGTACATCTATTTTTCTATAATGCATCACCGTCTGCCTACCATGTCAAGGCGGTGACAGACATCTGAGCAGCCGACTCGTTGCAGTTTGCCAGTTGCGGATTTCCGATGAGGTTAAAGCCACGAGGGCCTGTGGCCAGCATACAAACAGCTTTGCAGCTTCACTCTGTGCCATCGTTGTTGTATGTTATGACAAGCTGAATCCGTGTAGTGCATTAGTGTCCGAAGCACCACCTCCCACAAACACGTGCGCTCCAATCTGCTGCATGCCGAATGCACTGTTGTGAGAAATCAGCATAAATGCAAGTGGCGCTTCGCCGCCCCCACCACGACCGCCACCAGCAACGACATGCAAACGTAGTGACGTAGTACATATCGTATTCTTAACGCTGACAAAGACGGAAATGCAAGAAACAAGGTGCCATGGCAAAAACGAGGATGGTAATATTCCTGATGCACACATGTTATGTAAGGCAGAGACCAACAATCAAGATCTCGTCGTCGTCCTCGTCTTTCGATTCATCACCATGACTTGCTGGAGCCGTCTCTCTCAAAGAATTCTATTCCTTCCTAGTCCTCCGTACATCGACAGGGCTGCTGAAGTCATTAAGCAATGTGATGCAACTTGCTGACTGTGCTAGTTTTCAGGCTGACGTCCTTCATGGGATCCGGGAAATTCAGCAGAATGTCGATATCATTGACCTGGCGTGCGACAAAAGCTGGAACGAGATGGCTCGATCAGCCGCTCAATCGAGATAGCTCCTGCCAAGCATGGTGAACAAGCTTGCTTTCAGGCTTGACACGTCACGACCCCCGTGGCTAGACCTTGCTATACCAGCATGATCTTCATGCCATGAAGAAATTGCAGGGGCGACGGACTCTATGCTCGCATGCAACCGACATACGATTCAAAGGAGAAGGCCTTGGTGTTGCCGTTGAAGACATTCAGCGAGTTCCTCGAGAACCGGCTTGCTTCATCCGTATATTATATTGGCTTGGAAAACGAACTACCATAGCAAGGCTTTCAACATCAAAGCTTTCGTATCTTCGTTTTCACGACCGCAGATCTACAGTACCATCAGATTTGAAGTCTCCCAGGCCTTATGCACCTTTATGTGGCAAAGCTCTGAACGAAGGTCGCGCAACACCGCAACACCACCCAACTTGCGACGGACGAGCTGAGGGTGATCTTGTCGAATGCAGGGGCGTCTCTTCAAGAGGGCATCTTGATGATGTTGTACACGAATCAAAAGAAATTCCTGCATTTCCTGCTTGCTAGTGTTGAGTGGTGGCGAGGCCCCTTGCAGCTCTCAGCATTAAAGGTCGCAGGCTTACATGTTGAGACCCCCCGTCTCAGGTAAAGACTGTGCGAGGGGGGAGTCGACCTATCAAGCATGCCAAGATCCAACCCGCGGCTGTTGGCACGTTGCCAAGCCTCTCCATAATAATCATAATCATCATCATCATCATCCTAATCATAAAAATACTAGTAAACGAAGGCAGCTGCCCGCAAGAACGGGATCTCCAAGCTGGGGATTAAGCTTCGGGGAGAGCCAAGATTCATTAGCTTCTGGCTGCATCTGAGAGTCGTCACTTGGAAGATGTTGAGCTGGTTGTTGACATTGTAGCCGAGGAACTGTCCACGACCGGATTTCTTGTGACAATGGGGCGAGGGCGAGGGGGCCCAAGCAATAAGAATTGCGGAGATTGGATGTCACCAAATCTTCTGAGAGTAGGGGCCTCAGTCTCATCCAGAGCTGTGTCTGGCTCGGCCGTCCAAGTGTGGAAGGTGTCGATCCGCCTCATTTCGAAACCCTCCGCTGTCCCTCTTCCCGAGCAGCATGAGTCCACAGCCCACCTCAACCTGTGCACTCCAGGAGCCCAGGAAAATGCAAGGACTTGCACACATCACTGCGTGCACGAGCCAGGCAGTCTCACTGTGATGACGGCAACAACATTCAATAGCATTACAAACACACACACACACAAACACAAAAAAAAACTCACAGGTTCATCCCTGTCCCGCCAGAATCGCTAGAACGCGCCCTTGGTTGAAGTCTATCCGTGGAACACCGCTGAGGCAACAGGCCAGGTCTCAGCGACCGCCGCCGTCGGAGGGTTGAAAGTCCACACAATCAAGGTGTACCTTGAAACGCGCAGCAACAAACGAACAGAACTTCAGCGTGACCAATCATGGTGATTATCGTCAACCACATAGGAATCGATAGAAAGAGCAACTACTTGTACCGCACTAGCTCAGCTTGTTGCTTTGTCGCTGCTCTTCTTACTCCGGCTTGGCCACGCATCACTAGTAAGTAGGGCGGGTTTTACTACCTGGACACCACTACAGACTCTTGCTGCTAGCTACGAGTAGCTTCAGAATCGTAAAACTTACAGCTCTGTCGAAACAATATGACTGCCCCAAGAAGATCTCGTTGGGGCCAAACCGAGCTGAGTTACGGGTATGAGCCTCGGATGTCCTTGGCGCCAGCCATGTAGAGCAGCTGCTTCACCGTATTTTCCACCTCCACGCAGCTCTGGATGCTCGTGGCTCAGTCACAAGGCATGTCGGGAAGTGCCACCAGACCACCAACACCACTGAAAACAACAGAGGTCCAGAAGACCGAGCAAGAAAGACCTCTGACTCTAATCCCAGCCGCACCAAACAAATCAGCGCTGTTTGCAAGCAAGCCACTCGGCAGGAATAGTCTGAGTCCTCGAATACAACCGAGCCATCCGTCACGAACAGCTCCACCTGCCCCATTCAGGGTGCGAGGTTCGCAGGACGAGTGGCGAAACTACATGTCACCTTGACGTTCTCGACCTGTCATGTTCAGGTTTCGTTCACAAGCTCAATTTCTGACTTCTCTGACTTCCATGCCGTGCCGATGAAGCTCGGAGTCATGTTTAGCATGACACGCTCTGTATTCCTCAGGGTGTGGCTTGTCGAAGCGATCACGTGGCTAATCCTGCCTCGCACTGGGAGTTGGAGTGCTGGATTTCATAGCCAACCGGAACCTGAAGCTGAGCTTGCTGACATTCAGAACTACGATGGCGCCGCTGTTCGAGTATTGTGTTAGCCTTCATGGCGCACGCGCACACGTGTAGGGTTTCATGAGCTTGTGTCTGGCAGCATGGACAGCAGACGCTTGCACGGCCGAGGAGCAGTGAGCCGCAACATTCCGCCAAACTGCTCGTTCGGCGGCTTGGGCCTCGGTTTTGGGCTTTCGCTTCCTCTAACACCTTAACCCAAGGCATCCAACAAGCTTCAGGTTCGTGTGCCTCCAGGGGCTGCAACAGAAGGCAAGAACAGAACAGACTGTGCCACAAATCGTCTTCTCCCTGAACCGCTTCGCATCGCTGGGTTCATGCGATTTGGCCCGGGGCTTCAGGGTGGCCAACGTCTGGGGCCCGTTCGGAACTGTGTTGTACGGCATGAACTCGATTGTCACCTGAAGAGGTGGACGGGCAGGTAAAGCAAGATACCTTACAGTGCTTTACAGTACAGTAGATGCCTTCCCAGCATGAGGTCCTTCGGACATGTACCAAACCCAGGAGCCCACCTGGACGACTGTGACACTTCATGTTCTAACCGATGCAGATGTGAGATTGAACGGAAGGAACCCTCAACAACAACTGCAACAACAACAACAGCACTCTTGGAAGCGAGTCCGTGATGGAATTCAACTGTTGTTGCCCCTTATTCTAGTATCCTCATCATGCCCTTATCGTCTCCTTGTCATCCCCTTAATATTTTCCTTAGTATAGTACCCTTATTGTGCCCTTACAGTACCCAAGGACCCTTACCTCATACAATGCCCTGGAGGCCCGGGCAGGGGTAGGCGTGCGGATGATGCCAGCCTCGGTTTGGGGGTTAGGCATTTAGGGTTTGGGGGTGCTGCTTTTTTGACGGTTCCTTTCCTCCCTGTTACAGTTGGAATGCGCTTACAAAACTGCCTGCTGCACTCGCTGAAAACCCTAGGATGCAACACACCAACCAACACTGCAGCACGCCCGCAGACAAGCCAAATCAGGGCTCTGGGTTTATGGTTTAGAAACAGTACCAATCAAAGGGATGCTGCCGTGCTGATGCTGCTGTTGCTGGCGTGGGGGTCGCGGTGCTTCTTCTTCTTCTTCTGCTGCAGGCGGTGTTGTTGCTGCTTTGTTTTTGCTGTTGTTGCTGCTGCTGCTGCTGCCTCTGCTGCTGTTGCTGCCGGTTGGTGTCCTGGTTAACATCCTTCGCATGGTTCATCACCAAGCGATGCCACAGGTAGAATGAAGGCAAGCATCTTGATAATGTCATCACCATGACGTTCATCATGGTCATGGTGGTCATGATTATTATGATGATGCTGTTGGAGACGGTGGCAGTAGCGATGATGATGATGATGATTATGGTAATGATTCTGGTGGGGATGATGATGATGATGATGGCGAGGATGATGGCGAAGACGATGACGATGATGATGATGATGATGATGATGTTGTTGATGATGATGATGGTGGCAATGATGACAATGATGACAATGATGATGATGATGATGACGACGACGATGGTGATGATGGTGATGATGGTGATAACAGTGATAATGGTGATGATGGTGATGATGATGATGGTGGTGATGACGATGATGATGATGATGATGGTGAAGACGACGAGCTTTCAGACTTGCAACGTTCGTCGTGTGAAAATCCCAAACCCAACGACCAGCAAGTTGAATCCCTTGCTTCACTGCTATTTCTCAACTGAAAGCACCGTAGTCCACAACACTACCGTTACATAGCACTCATACTACCCATAACGCCAGCCGAGACAGCAATAGGAAGTAGTGGTCCTGGTAGCAGTGGTGGAAGTTGAGGCAGTGGCAGAAGTAAAATGAGCAGACAGAGAATTCGCATTCGTAGTTGCAGTCGCCGTCGTAGTAGTAGTAGTAGTAGTCGTCGTCGTCGTCGTCGTCGTCGTCGTAGTAGTAGCAGTAGTAGTAGTGATCAGGAGCAGGAGCATTAGCAGCAACAGCAGCAGTAGCAGTCGTAGTCGTCGTAGTGGCGGTGTCAGGAGTGAGTGTGGCAGTGGCAGGTGGTGGGTGGGCAGTGGATACTGTAGTTGCAGTAGTCGTAGCCGTCTGAGAAGCCGGAAAGCTGGTAGATCAGTGGCAGAGCCATAACCAAGTGCTCGCAGTAGAAGCAAGTGCCACAACAAAAGCCTGATCCAACAAGGAGGATCCTGGGACCTAGTAAGAAAGGTCATAAGTACCTTAATTGGGGTGATAAGTAGTTTTAGGTATAGTTACTGTATTTTAATCCAGGAAGATGGGCGCCCGACTCCGGTCGGTGTTTTCATTGCCCCCACAGCCATGATGTTCATGTTGGTAAAGGTCCAAACCCTCGGAAGCTTCGGATTTACGGAGGGAAGACTTCACGATGTGCTTCTTTGACCTGGAATTTTGCTTGCTGCTTCGAGACAGCTCGGGTTGGGGACAGCGGTGACAGAGCTTAAAGCACCACAACACAACGCAAGCCGTTCTGTTACGGGGCATCGTGAACTGACGGTCTTGTAAACTGACATCTAGCTGGCTACAGGTTAGTGGTATGTCGACATCTTCGACTTGGACTCCCTGCCTAGATCGGTGGTAAGGTCATTCCCAAGTCTTCTCAGAGCACTCCAGCTCCTGGGTGCAGAGCGTGAAGCCCTGGAAGGGGTCCGAGGCCTGCTCGTTGAAGTTGATACTCCACTTGTTCCTGGCTGCGCTTTGGAATCGGGTACTTTTGATTGAGCATCGCGGAAATTTCAACACTGGGACCAGCCAAAAAGAAAGAACAACCAGACCTACACAGACGACAAAACCGAAGTTGCAACGGTGACCACCACCACCACCGCCACGACCACCACGACCACACCACGGCCACCACTATCACCACCACCAAAACCACCAAAACCACCACCACCACCACCACCACCACCACGAACACCACCACCACCACCTCGACCACAGCAGCCAACAACAGCAACAGCAACAACAACCAACCACCAAAACCGGAACAACCGCCACAACCCCAACAGCAACAGCCACCACAGCCTCCACAGCCCCCATCACCACCATTGCCACTATTATCACCAGCTCCACCACCGCACAATCACCGCCGAAGAGACAAGCACAACAAACCTTGTTGCAGTTAGCCTCTATCCCTGCTTCTGAATGTATGTACTGTGATTTGAAGTGTGAATCAAATTATTGCAATGCAAACCAATGTGATGCAATGTAATGGGATAGCGTAAGGTAGTGCAATGTAGCTTACTGTAGTGTATTGTAGGGCAATGCTGAGAAGAGCAGCATAGTGTATGGTAATGTAATGTAGTGCACTGCAGGGCAATGTGGTGTAATGTAATGGTACTGGGCTGTAATGTTGAATGGAATGCGATGGAATGCGATGGAGTGCAATGTGATGCAATGTATGCGACTGCATGTACACTTACTTACACATACATACCTTACAGTAATGACATGTACATATGTGCATTGTTACACTGTCACATGAAACGAGGCTTATACAGCGTGGTTACACAGCATGCACTGCATCTGATGTCTGGCTGCTGGGTCGATAATACGGGTCATTCTGTTCGTGTGTGTCACCTGCAGAGCATCGCCTATCGGAACTTGGGCAGGCTGGACCATTCCGGAGTGGACATTGGGTTCTTGCGCACGCCAATGCGGAAGACATAGAGACCTGATGCAGCAGGCAGTAGAGAGTACGGGGCATATGTACAGTGTGCCACTGAGCGCGCGATGCTCCCATGCGGTGAACCGTACATTAACCCGCATTGAAGATTCTCGATACACGCAAGCACCGACCGCCGTCGCTGACTCCATCATGTCAAACAATCGTGCAGATCACGGGGAAGTTAAGGCTGAGACTGTTTCTTCCCAGACCTCAAGTGGATGCTCCAAACAGCTGTTCAGAACCTCTGTGAGCTGAGGTCCGTCCGGAATGACTCTTTTGGTCACGAGGGTCTGCTGGTGTTTAGTTTGCCCATGCCGATCACACTTCCGGATTTTCCGCTGGTCCCATGCTGCAAGCCTTTTTCAGAGGGCCCAGCCACTTGGCACGGTGATGAGGGCTTCGCGCCCGTTCCCGGCACACTTTGTAGGGCGGTACCTGAGCCACAGAGTTGACAATGACCCTGAGGAAGGACGTATATGGAAAGGAGAAGAAGGAAGGAGAAAGAACAAATAGCTTGCAAGCAAGAAACTCCCAGACCCTTCGGAGCACAATGCCCATGCTGAACCAGATGTATCTTTCTGAACGTGCAGCAATCGTGTACATCCGCAACACATTTGATCTAAGGCAGCCACTCTGGTGGCCACTCAGAATAATCTGGCGGCCACACATCCTACAAGGGTGTTCACCGTTTCACGGCACCAAAGCCATGTGCACGGACACCGAACATCAAGTACCAACCGAGAACTCTGTCCTGTGTGTTGGGGCCGAAGACATCGTTCCTGTCCCTGGCAAGTGTGAGTAGATCCAAAGTTGTGTGAGGCAGGCCTCTCATGCCAAAGATGCGAATCATGCTCACAGCGTGCAGATCCCAAGCTGATCTTAAGATCTGAAGCGACTCGGTGCACTAGATATCACTAGATGTGCAGCAACACTGAAGCGAAGAGTCTGGGAGCGGTGGAAAGCAAGCCTCGAATGTGCTTCAAACTTATTCATAGGAAGGCTGCTTGTCGAAGACTGCGCCCGGAGATGTGAGATTTTCTGAGCAAGGATGCGGTGGGCCAGCGTTTCGGCCACTGCTATGCCACCCAAAAAGCGCTCACTGCCGGGCATGACAACGTGGCATAATCTGGCTCCGCCGACGTGATCACGTACGGCAGGCAGTTGTCATCGAACTCAAAGCCACGTGGCCTAAGCCATGTACTGAACAACTGGGAAGCAGGCCAGTTTTGCAGTATTATATTATATTATATTATATTAAGGTATGAGAAAAGGGTGACTGCAGGAGAGAAGTTAAGGGCCCTGCCCACGCAGGGCAAGGATTCCAGTCGCCAGTGGCCTGGCACAAGTCAGCTGTCAACCGCTGAGCAGTGAGTGTGGAAGCTCCGACAAGTTGCCCGACCTGATGTTCAAACTGAACTGGAAGACGAGCTGGTTCAACCTGAGCCGAGGGTCTACCCTGAGCAGACTCTGATAGTTCATCTTCGCCCTTCCT